GCTGCCAGGATGGCGACCAAACCGGCAGTTAGAATGCTGGGAACGGCAGCACTTGCAGAGCTGGTTACAACAGGATCCTTCAGATCTTCTTCCGTCATACTTTTTAATTGAGTTGTTCGTGTGCTAAGCTCCTTGAAGTACTCTTCGCTGCAAAGATGGCGAAACAGACAGAAACAAAGAATACAACTCCAGTTATTGTTGTTCGCGTCTAAATCCTTTCATAAAACCCATCTAAACATTCAACTCCAAAACACCATGCTTACCTGAAGGCGGCATCGTTCGCCTTTGGTGCAGGGTTTAATTCACAGAAAAGCACAGACTTTGTAGGTGTAGGTGTCCCATCTGCTTCCGCTGATTTTACACAATTTCCAATGACACAGCCGACTTTAGTGCTGTCGGCTCCGAGAAGGTGCAGCAGGCTGTGAACCTTTTCCTTCCCCCATATACCTTGCCATGCCGTTTCGTCTGCGGGATATGTCGTGCTGTGAAGTAGAAACAATCAGCGCAACACAACATAAATGTAGTTATTTGACTATGGATGACGAAAAATTGGCGTCGGTAGCATGGTAGATGAGCTATGCATCATCGCTGTTGCTTTGGTTTGTTAAGACAGCAGGTAGAAGCTGCCTGTCGCGAAGATGAATATCGCATCTCCCTACCCGAATGCTTGTAGTCCGGTCGTGAGAGCTTCTTGCACCAGTGTGCGATAGTTTGGATCTGCTGTGTACTCGAAACTGTGATAAAAGATCGTCTTCTGTATAAGCAAAACCGGAATGAAACGACAAAACAGCCCTCTTATGTTCAGTCTGTCTCTGATAATCATAGGAATAAACGCATAATTTCTGTCGGGCCTCACAACGGTGCTTAGAGCTCAGACCTGCAGCTGATTATGACAGAACACTACCCGTAGTAACATCATGGAAAAGGGCATTTTATAGTGTAATGCGCTCACAAGGTGGTCTTTTATTAAATCGTCGCACGTCTCGTTTGTACTTTCTTCGGCTTTTACTTTTGTCTCCAATTCGCTGACGGTAGTAGTGTCCTTTTCGACTA